AGATGAAAGGAACGCACCAGCAGTGACTGAGTCTGTCTCCAACATTTCCAGCAGAAACTATCAGCAGCATCAAGAGTCTTGCCTGGAGGACAGATGGGGTGGGGAGGCGGGGGGGGGGGCGGTGTCTAATTCTAAAAGCCTCGCCTATCTCCAGCTTAGAATTTCATACTTGTTTTTTTAAAAAAGTTAAAACTTGCTCAATGACAATCCTTTGAAAGGAACCCAAACTGCCTTTTACCTCTGCATCCCTAAAACAGTGCCTGCTAGGCATATAAAAGTCACTCTTTCTCATTCTGGCCAGGTGGCTCAAATGGTTGGAGCTTAATCCTGTACACCAAAAGGTTACCGGTTGGGGTGCCTCTGGGAGACAGCCAATTGATGTATCTCTCTCTCCCCCTCTCTAAAATATCAATAAATACATCCTTGGGTGGGGATATTTTTAAAAAGCACTTGATTTGTGAACTACTCAAAAAAATTTTCTCAAAATCAAATACCCAAATCCAGTTCCAAGGGGATTTTGTTTTTAATATTTTTATTGATTTCAGAGAAGGGAGACAGAAACATCAATAAGAATCATCTATCAGCTGCCTCCTACACGCCCCCTACTGGGGATCAAGCCCACAACCGAGGCTTGTACCCTAACTGGGAATGGAAACCTGACCTCCTGGTTCATAGGTCAATGCTCAACCACTGAACCACACTGGCTGGGGCCATTCCAAGTTTTATTACTAAAAAATAATGCTCAAAGAGCTGCAGGGTTAGTAGACTTCAAAAATCCTTTCTAATAACATTAAAAATCCAGATCCTGTTCCTTCCGTCATTACTGGGATTAAAGTTCTTGAGAACACAAGACACCAAGTATGCAAAAGCAACTAGACAAGACAAACTCAAAAACTCAGCCATAATGAAAGAATATAATCCCAGTAGAGGGGAAAACTGTAATCCCAGCAAGGGGATAGGGGGGAATTTTAACAAGAAAAAGCCAGGCAACAATACAAAAATCAATAGAATTGTTTCACTAATTGAATAATTCTATATTTCATCAGTTCACTAGTGGTTTTCACATTAAGGTCCCTCAAAATTCAGAGTTAAGATGCTGCCAAAATGAGTGGTTTCTCAAGTCAAAGAAAATACTCAAATTGATATCCTTGAAAGTTTCTCAAAATTTAAACATTTTGCATATTGTTCACTAAGCAGTGGGTCAAATATTAAATAACAACTAATATTAATAACACTTGCAAACAGCCTACCATGCCTAGCTACTTGTGATTTTCACATCATTTAACGATTAGATACAACTGAAGCTGACATTAATTTCAGGACATCAGTCTGGCAAATGTCCAGGACTATCAATATTCCTGGTACCAGAGCAAACTTAAGAATCACTGATTTGGGTCACTAATACCCTATTAAAAATGAAGATATGTGAAAAGGTCTCCCATTTATCATTTTTACATATTATATCCATATTGACCTGTCTATGCCAATTGTTTTCTCTAAGATCTAGCAGACATCATCTGCTAGGAAACTTGGTTAAGTACAATAAAGCAATATAAGAACAAGTTTAGCTTTTTGAGGAAGTGAAGGCTGGAGTTAAGATTTATTGCCCTCCATGTAAAAAGATGAAGGGGAATATAGTTAATATTGTGGTAAGTCTGCATAATGACAGATGATTACTGTGTATTATACACCTGAAACTAATGTTATATTATACTAGAGGCCTGGTGCATGAAAATTCATGCACTGGAAGGGGGGTTCCCTCAGCCCTGCCAGAGCCCTCAGGGGCGGGAGGCGACCCAGTGATCAGGGGAAGGCAACATCACACCTCTGCTGCTGCCACTGCTGGTAACGCAAGCCTCGGGCAGCCCTGGGCAGCTGGGCAGTCGCCATCTGAGGCTTGCCTGCGCCTTGAGCAGGCCCTGGGCAGCTGGAGGGCTGATGGGACTGGGGGACTCCAGAGGCAGGTGTGCGGCCCAGCCTTGCTGTGCCCCTGCTGCCCCAGTGGGGCTGATGGGACTGGGCACCGCCAACTTTGAGGGCGTGGCAGTCAATTAGCAAATTCGCTTATTGGCTGTGGATGCTGCCATATTTAAGGGTGGGACAGTCAATTAGCATATTCCCTCTTTATTGGCTGTGGGCACTGCCATCTTTGCAACGGCATGAGGGTCAATTAGCATATTCTCTATTAGATAGGACTAGAGACCCAGGGCACTAAAATTGATGCACTAGGGGGGAGGGAGTCCCTCAGCCAGGCCTGCACACTCTCGCAGTCCAGAACCCCTCAGGGGATGTCCACCTGCTGGCTTAGGCAGGGAGTGGGCCTAAGCCACAGTCGAACATCCTCAGCACTGTCGAGGAGTGAGGAGAGGCTCCCACCACCACCGCTGCACTGGCAGCCGTTAGCCCAGCTTGTGGCTGAGCAGAGCTCCCGTGGGAGTGCACTGACCACCAGGGGACAGCTCCTGCATTGAGCGTCTGCTCCTGGTGGTCAGTGCGCATCGTAACAATCAGTCGTTCCTAGTCATTCCACCGCTAGGATAAATTTGCATATTACCCTTTTATTATATAGGATACCTACTATACTTTAAAAAAAATGTTACAGCCCTGACCGGTTTGGCTCAGTGGATAGAGCGTCGGCCTGCGGACTCAAGGGTCCCAGGTTTGATTCCAGTCAAGGGCATGTACCTTGGTTGCGGGGCACATCCCCAGTGGGGGGTATGCAGGAGGCAGCTGATCGCGGTTTCTAACTCTCTATCCCTCTCCCTTCCTCTCTGTAAAAAAATCGAATAAAATATATTTTTTAAAAATGTTACAGGCAAAATAGATGCTACTCTCAAACTTTCCTTACAGCTTGCTAGATGAAAGTTGCACAAAAGCTGCACTATACCCTGCAAAGGCTGGTCTTAAAACTGCTTGCGCTCAAGGCCACTCCACTCATGACTTCTCAGAACCTGGATCTTAAAATTTAGGCTAACTTGTTGGTTCAAACAAAGTCCATCTTCTCTACCTTTACTTAAAGAGTCTTATTTTATTGCCTCACTGTATAGTAAACTATTTGTAATATTAAAACAGAAGGCACTTATTTTACAGGGGTGGAAAAATCAGAAAGTCAACTGGTAAAATGTCCAAGTACCTAACACCATACATATCACTGAGGTACACTCTAAACACCTAAAGGGTTAAAAACTAGGTTCTACCACTTCATTTTTCTTAATCCTCACCCAAAAAAATTGAGAGGAAAACATCAATAGGTTGCTTCCTGAACACACCCTGACCAGGGATCGAACCCACAACCTAGGTATTTACCCTGACAGGGAATCAAACCTGTAACTTTTTGGTGAGCCGGACACTTCAACCAACCAATGGAGCCACCCAGCCAGGGCAGGTTCTGGCAATTTTATTTTTAATACATTTTTATTTACTTCAGAGGGAGATAGAAACATCAATGATGAGGATCATTGATCAGCTACCTCCTGCACAACCCCCCACTGGGGATTGAGCCTGAAACCAGCACATGTGCCGACCAGATATCAAACTGTGACCTCCTGGTTCATAGGTCAACATACAACCACTGAGGCACGCCAGCTGGGTGGTTCTGCCCTTTCAAACAAAGCCAGTGCCCTCCATCCAAGTTAACACATTGTGGGACCAGTTTTGCTAGCTTTACCCAGTGGCCAGGTAAGTTTCTATTGAACCAGTACAAAAAACGTTTTATATAAATGTTAAAGGCATGCTTTAAAATTAAATACCCACTGTTTTTTGAAATTGCTACATATCTTACAAGGTAATATGTTTTTAAAGAATTCTCATAACTAGCCACAAGCCTCAGAACAGGAAACACCAGAACTCTCACGATCCGTCCGCAATGTGTTATCACATAAACTCTCCCTAAAATCAGCTTCACAATTTTCTGGCCCAAGTTCTAGCCTTCAAGAGAGAGAAGTGGCCATGCCAGTAAACCAAAAAGCTTTCAAATCCAACCCCAAATAGAATTTCCCCTGGTCGATCCCACATGTGGAGAAAACCAAAGCAATCTTTTTGGTGCTTTCCTCAAAATCCCTGCAGGGCTATGTAACGGTCTGCACTGAAGGTGTGGTTTTTAGGCTTCTGGAACTAGACTTTATGGGCTCTAATACCAGTTTAACATTTATTTGCTCTTCTCTTTGGCATAATTTCCTCCAGTAAAACTATTACCTAATGGGTAGTTTTGAAGATTCAGTTACCAAGTATTTATATAATACTAGCACTCATATGGACTAAAGTCTAATCCAGGGGTGGGCAAACTTTTTGACTCGAAGGCCACAATGGGTTCTTAAACTGGACCGGAGGGCCGGAACAAAAGCATGGATGGAGTGTTTGTGTGAACTAATATAAATTCAAAGTAAACATCATTACATAAAAGGGTACGGTCTTTTTTTTAATAGTTTTATTCATTTCAAGCGGGCCGTAGTTTGCCCACGGCTGGTCTAATCAATCTCTGAGACTCCTGTACCTTTAAATCATTACCTGCAGGTAGCAGGATCTAACTCTTAAGATGGATAGAGAATTTTAAGCAGCTTTCACTATTATTTTCCTCTTCACATATATTGTGACATCCATGTCTCAGGACTAAAAGAAAAAGCATGTGAACCCCTTAAAAGCCATGTGCATGGATCTAAAAAATACCACCCCCCTCCCCCAAAAGAAACACCTTTTTGTCCACCAAAACTGTAGTACAACCTTTAAGAAAAGCATAAAACATTAACTGTATGATTTGCTTCCTAAATTGTCCTCTTGACTATGGAAGCCCCAAGTAACCTGATGCCAATAGAATAGTCAGGTGATACAGGGAAAGAGCATGGGTCACAGACAAAGGAAATGTCAAAAGTACTGTTCAAATTTTTTAAGAATAAAGAACCTGAGCTAACCAAACGACTTCAGGTTCTCTGCAAGAAATTGTGTTGAATGTAGATGGGAAGGGAGGAGTAAATAACACACATCCTTCAAACAGACAGACAAAAGCAGTTTTATAATCTTTTATTATCAATAACTAACAGCTGCTTGTTAGTCTTTGCCAAGCAGCTGTTAAAGGGTGGGTGGGAGGACACCCATGACCCTAACAAGGAAAACTCAAATTAAGCCTTTATGTACAAGCAAATTTAGAGCTCTTTTAAGTGTCCAAAGCTATTAATTAGTTTAATTGACACATTAAACTAATTTTGAATTAACATATTTGAATAACCAAGAACTAAAATGTTCAAATTTTTCTAGTACAAAAAAATTAAATTTGCTTTAGTTATAAAAGAGCTCTGTCAATATACACAAACTATATACTTCAGACATTCACAAAAATGTGAGCAGAAGGCTTATCAAAAGACATTTAATACAATTAGGTTTCAACAACCCTTGGTGGTCCACATCTACAAAGATATCCAGCCCAACCCAATCCAACCCCCCCTCCATAGCCCACCCCCACAAAAAAAGCACATACTTACCAGAATTTTTAGCAAGTATGATTTGGGTATTTGTGTTTTTGTTTTTTGTGTTTGTGGTTTTTTTTAAAAAAAAGGCCCCCTGGGCAAGTTATTTACAGTTTAATTGCCACTGTCAACTGATCTGGACCGGGACCGAGACCTGGACCTGGACCTGGACTTTTGGCGATCCACAGATGCTGGAGACTTAGATCTACTTGAAGAACCACGTTTCTGGCTCTTCTCAGGTGCAGGAGACCTACTAACAGAACGGGACTTGCTCCGGCTTCGGCTCCGGCTCCTGCTCCTAGACCGGCTGTAAGACTTGCGACTCCGAGAACGAGAACGAGACCGAGACCGGCTACGAGACCTAGAGGAACTCCTAGTCCGGGAACGAGACCTGCTTCGTGACCTACTGGTAAGGGGGGGAAAAAAACAAAACATAAGCTGCAGGCCCTACAAATCCATTAAGTAAAACTTTGACTTAAAAATGCTAGTGTCCTGGCCGGTGTGGCTGTTAGTTGGGCGTTGTGTCCCATGCATGCAATGAAGGGTTGCTGGTTCTTTCCAGTCAAGACACATTGCCTGGGTGATGAGCTTGTTCCCCAGTAGGGGGCGTACAAGAGGCAACGGATAGGTGTTTTGCTCTCCCTCTCCTGTAAAAATCAAAATATTTTAAAAATATATTAAGGAGCCAAAACCGGTTTGGCTCAGTGGATAGAGTGTCGGCCTGCGGACTGAAAGGTCCCAGGTTCGATTCCGGTCAAGGGCATGTACCTGGGTTGCAGGCACATCCCCAGTAGGGAGTGTGCAGGAGGCGGCTGATCGATGTTTCTCTCCCATCGATGTTTCTAACTCTCTGTCTCTCTCCCTTCTTCTTTGTAAAAAATCAATAAAATATATTTAAAAATATATATATATATATATTAAGGAGATACCTGTGCCTTTTGCTGCCTTCAATTAATTTTATTTTTCTCCCATTTATTTCCTTTCCAGAAAGTTTTTCAATAGCATTCTTTAAATCACCATAAGAGGCGAACTCAACCACCCTAGCGAGGAAAAAGAAAAAAACATTTGTGAAGTTATGTACACCTGACAGTCTCACAAAGGAATCTAGATTAAGTACCTTTTCCATGCTCATTTTGCTATTACTGTATCAAGAGTTTTTAACTCTCGATGAATAACACGGCATTAGAGCAAGGCTTCTCAACCCCCTAATTGTTGACAATTTAGCCCAGACAAAGTTTGTTGTTAGGGGCTTTCCTGTGCATTGTTTATATGCATCCCTGGCCTTTATCCACAAGATGCCAGACATTGCCAAAAGTCCCCTGAAGCAAACTCACCTGAGAACCAAGAGCATTCGCAAATTTTAAGTACTGAGAACAACATTCACAATAAAACTGCCAAGGTATTTTAACAGGCTTACAATCTACAGTATTTACTTACCCTTCATTTAATTTAGGTCGATGTGCATCCGCAAAGGTTACTTCTCCAGCTTGTCTCATGAAATCTTTGAGATCCTTAACACAAGACAATTGTGTCATGCAGAGAAAAGGAAACGTGACACACAAACAACAACATGATATAAAAACAAGACTACTGAAAGAGAAGATGTTAGATAAAGTACAAACATGGCATTTACCACACTTGTATTCTATCAGAATTCAAAAAGTATTTATGTCAGGGCACGAAATAAGTAAATAGCATATTGCTTTTAAGCAAAATGCTAAAGGAAATTTAGATGTTAACATTAAGTAGTATTAGTCTATACTGAGCTCAATACAAAAGGAAAACAAAAAACAAAACAAAAAAAACAAACAAGTAGAAACAGTACATATTTTTAAAGACTAAAGTAGAAATTTTATATTTAAAAACAGAACATTTACAAGACATCAATTATTTTGTGCCCCATATGTCATTAAAAAAGTTTACTTTACCTTTATTATTATTTCCCTAGGCTAGTCAAGCAGCAAACCGTTAATCGGTCGAAGAAACCTTCATGACATATGCCCGACTGGCTCTTCGCCACCCACTTGAAGGACACTACCCAATCGATGGAAGCCTTTAATCGCACAGCCCTCCCTATTAGCAGACTATTGGCGATGCAGACATGTTCTACTCTTGTGCAGTTAGTTACCAAGGACCACTTTACTGCGAACAGGATTCCAACGACCAACTAATTTCGTATCGTTCGACCAGGACCTCTTATTCGAAGCGTTACAGGAAGACAGCTCTCAACTTAGGGATCAGATCACGTTATCAGCGCTCTGGGATCGCTGCAACCTGGCACTCCAAGTAAGTGCCCCGATTACGTCTAGACCGGCAAACACAGATCTAGAGGTGGCCAATTGATCACTGTAGGAGCTGACTGGCAAAGTCAACCAGGCCCAACCAAGAGTGACCAAGACAACGATTAGGATAACCCACAGGCACTCCTCGTCATAAGGCCAACGACACAGATAGGCTGGCAAATAAAGGGTTTAATATTTGGTTAAAATTGATTTTAAGAACAAGAAAAAATATCCTCAAAAACATTTACATTTGATCACTAATATTAAAATTTGCAATATCCCCCAGTTACATTAAATTAAAATTTTAAAATTACAATTAAGTCCATTAATTTAATTAAAAATAGAACTACTTTTAATAAAATGTTAATAAAACTTTAGCTACCCATTCCATTAGTTTTTAAAAAGCCACATTAAAATATCTCAAAACTGAATTTCTACACACCTGCCAGCTGACTCTTGAAGACAAATTTTCAACTATAAGCCGATTTTCTGTTCTTACAGGTGGAGCATTTCTGAGAAAAAAAACAAGTATTCTCAATGGAAGAAATACAGCAATTCGCAATTTTGTTCCAACTATGAGCAAGTTTATGCATTCAGACATAAGCCATTCAAATGATTTCATCAACTGTTTAATTATTTTATGCTTCATTATAGTGACTTAACCGAAACAGTGAACTGACATAGGCACGAGAACTGACTTTCTTGGTAAATACCAGAATCACTTATTGCTAACTAGAGGGCCAATGAACAAAATTCGTGCACTGGGAGGGTGGGGTGTTCCCCTCAGCCCTGCCTGCGGAACCCTCAGGGGATGGGATGTCTGACTGCTGGTTTAGGCCTGGCTCCCCCGGGCCTCAGTCAGACATCCTTAGTGCTGCCTCAGAGGCGGGAGAGGCTCCCACCAATGCCGCTGAGCTCACCAGCCATGAGCCCGGCTTCTGGCTGAACAGGGGCACCCCCTGCCCCCCTGTGGGAGCGCACTGACCATCAGGGGGCAGCTCCTGCGATATGCGTCTGCCCCCTGGTAGTCAGTGCATGTCATAGCGACTGGTCGTTCCGTGTTCACTTTGCATATTAGGCTATTATACAGGACAGTACTTAATCATTAAATAGTCGTGCAGTAATGATTATTCAAAACAGCCACTGGCCATCACATACCGTCTATCATTTCGAGGTCTGCGACTACTAAAGCGATCAGAGTATCGCCCTCTACCTCTCCCACCTCGAGATCGAGCTCGAGCATGTTCAATAGTAACCCTAAGGAAGAGAAGAAAATCTTCATTATCCACACAAACTATGTAAGAGATCTACTTAGGAAAATGCTCCAACGCACCCTAGTCTGCTCTATTTTACAATGCTAACTAACTGTAAAACTAAAATCAAGATTCTCACCTTTCACTGCAGAGTTCTTTTCCATCAAGTTCATATACAGCATCATCAGCATCCCTGGGATCCTCAAATTCCTAAAATACAAGCATGAAAAAAACATATACTACTTGGCAGTCTTAAAAGTGTATTCTACAGCAATAGGAGCACTAAAAGCATTTAACAGTAAGGAAGTATCTTAATGACAGTACCCTATCAATAAGCCTATTTGACAAGTGACCAGGAGTGGTTCCCCAGTCAGTAGTGAGGCTCTTTTCTTCCTTAAGGAAATTCACTGCCTTCAGGATGCACGCATTTTCTAAAGACCCTCTACCTGCCTCAATAAGATAAAAAAAACGTTGCTCATCAAAAGCTTTACCAGCGTAACAACAGGTAATCCAACCAGTTCTAAACACTCACCACAAAACCAAAGCCTCTTTTCAGATCGATATCTCGTATTCGCCCATATCCCTTGAAGAATCTTTCCACGTCTTTCTCCCTGGCCGCTGGATTTAGCCTCCCGATGAAGACTCGACAGCCGCTCATGGCGCCCGGCTAGTACTTCCTGTTAGAATAATTCAGTGGAGACACCCCGCGTGAATGTCAGAAGAACGGCTGGTCCAGGGGTCAAAAACATGAACGGCATAAAATAAAATGTTTACCGGGTGATGTTATAAACAAGATTGCCAAGAGTGCCTCTTATTAGGCCGGGTCCCTTGCAGACAAAATTAAAACTCGGCTCCCAACACGATCCTTCCCTGGGCCCAGAACGCAGCCACCGCAACGCCCACTGCCGCCTCCGGAACTGCGCAGCCTCACACTCGCCCCGGCTCTTCTGGCCCCCTCCCATCTGCCGCAGTTAGGAAAGGCCGAGAAGTGCGGGCGGGGCCGGCGCCGCCCTCCGCGCGGCCAGCCCAATGGCGACGGGCCGCGCGAGCGTCGCCGCCTCCCTGGAGCGTCACAGCAGGTGGAAGCCGGAATCTCGCGACGCCACGGCCGCGCCTGCGCAGAGGGCGGCGGGCGGACGCTAGACAGCCACAAAATGGCGGCGGCGGCGCCAGCGGTGGGCAGAGCCGCGCGTGCCCAACTCCCTCCTCCCACGCCCTCCCCCGACTCCACCGTTCCGGAGTCTCCATCCCCGCCCGCAGAAACCCCGGGCCGCCACACCCCAACCCCAGCCCACTACTCCCGGGGTTCGGCCAAGGAGGAAGTCAAGAGGCAGGGAGGGGCACACAACCCCGCAGGAAAAACGACCAGAACCAAGACCGCCCTTCCACCTTCACTTCCCCTCAAACAAGACCCCAAGGGAGACGTGCCCCAGCGCCCACCTCGAGTAAACTGCGCTCATTGGACGCCGTCCTCCGCAAAGAGAGCAGCCCTGGCCACTGATCCGAGTGGCCATGAAGAAGCCTCGATCCGAGAAGCCATTCCCTCAAAGTGAGCCACTCACCTACCGGACGGGATCTTTGGCAGCTGAGACCCAAGAGAGGTCCGTAGTCTGCGACGGAGCTGTCTGCCTCCCCGCAGACCAGGACTCAACTCGTCTACGTCTCTCGACAACTGACGCACTTAGCTGCTCCGCGTTCTACAAAATGGAGGGTGCGCCTTGCGTCACTTCCGGGGCCGCCCATAGACCCTCCCCCTTGGATCCGAGGACGGAAGTCTCTGAGGGGTCGGGGCCCTGTCACCTGGGACCGGCCGAGCGGCCTCGCCCGCGGTGGGCGGGGCCGAGGGGCGGGGCGGGGCGCCGCTGTCAGGTGCCCGGCGCTGGGAAGGCCGCGGTTGAAGACGTTTGAAGCTTTTAGGCCGTGAAGTTCGGTCCGTCATTCTCTCTCGCATGAATATGCCCTGAGACAAATGACGCCGCTTTTTCATCGGAATTTTTTTTAAGATGCCCCGAAGAGTCCTGGGTAAAAGAAACTCCGGAACTCAGGCTTTGCAGAACTACCTGGCCATCGCTGGCCCCTGCCGCTGGCCATTTCGGGGGCAACGTTGGAAGACGCTCCTTGACGAGCAGTGAGGTGCGGACCGAACCACGAACGAGTAGTTGACAGTAAGAAGACCGCGGGAGTGCGTGCTTTTTAAGCGGCAGGTTTCCGCGGGGTGAAGTGTTGAACGTGGGACTGCCGCCGGAAGGCCGTCTTGAATTGAGTCCCGGAGGCCGATTGGTGCATCTCCGCTGCCCTGCACCTGAGCTGGCCGCGCCAGGTTCCCGCTGCTTTCGGCCCCGCGGCGTTCGGCGACCCCTCCCGGGTCAGGTTTCCGTAACGTAACGCGCGAGCGCCTGCCGCTCCGCAAACAGGGTGTGGTGGTTTCCAAACGCAGCCCTGCACTCCTCACCTCCGCGCGTTCCCGGGAAGGTGGCAGGCTTAGAAGTTGGAGCATAAAGATGGGGCAAGTTTACTTTTCTTCTCTGCTTTTGGGTGGCACCCGAGGCGCCCCGTTCTTGAGAGGCGCCCAGAGTCTGGGGTTGCTGCTGGTAACCGGAGTTACACAGATAGATAACGTCGTTCGAGGAGGAGCCGAGCTCCTGGCCCCCGGCTCCGACCTCCCCTGACCTGGGCCCGGAGGAACTCGGACGGAACTCGGACAGTGTCCAGCGTGGGCTCATCCATCCCTGCATTTGTATGTTTATTCTAAAAAGAGCCTCCGCAGGTACTCAGCGAAATTGAGAGGTTAGCTGTCTATCGGGTGGGGGAATTAAGGATGATTTTAAAGGCAAACATGTCCTCGGTAAAAGGGAATGCTTCCCCCCGGCCTCGTGTGCATTGGCATCTCACAGTGCACACACTGCCCCACGCCAGGACTGACTGAATTAGTTTGCTTTCTGCATAATTTTTGAAAATCAGCCTTCCCGTTATTTTCTACATTCTGTGTTGACGTGAAGCAACCGCTTGTGATTTCACTCACTGACCATCATTTTTTGCTGCCATAAGAGAAAGGAATCTAGAAAAGGTTTCCTGGGAGGTAAGAAAACCAGTAGTGGTGTACACCGTGAACAAAGGGGCTGCCTTCAGCCCCGGTGTTGCGGTTTTCTTAGGACTAACTTTTCTAATAAGGCCTTTTCTCTTAACTAACTTACCTTAGAAAGTTTGTGATTTCCGCAAAGGCAACTTTTCGTTAGTAGTGCCTAGTGAGTTATACTGTATTTAAAACCATTTATCTTCTGCGATGCTTGCTTGTTCCATGACAACTGCCTCATCGGTCTCCATACCAGATTGTTTAACAGTCCCCCCAATAAACTCATGTTCCATGAGCAGAAATACTTTTACTCCCATGGGATCCTACAGTCGTCTGTGTATACTCCTAATAATCCTTTCATTATTGAGGATGGTTTTACATTTTTAAATGGTTGGGAGCTGGGGCAAATCAAAAGGAGAGTATATGAAATTCAAAGGTAATTTTCCATAAATAAAGGGGTTTTTTGGAAAAACAGCCACTCTCTTTCACTTAATTACTGTCTATAGCTATTGTCCTGTGTTGTCAGGGCTGAGTATTTGTAATAGAGACCATAGGCCCACAAAACCTAAAATATTCACTATCTGGCCCTTTACAGAAAATGTTTGCCAATTCCTAAGCTAGCCAATTCCTAGGCTTTAAACTGTGAATACTCCACCCAGCTCCCTTTGCCAGATAACAAAATCATAACAGAGACAGGATTTGATCTTTATTTCTAAACTAGAGGCCTGGTGCACAAAAATTTGGGCACTCGGGGGGAAGCGGGGGGTCCCTCAGCCTGGCCTGTGCCCTCTCGCAGTCTGGGACCCCTCGGGAGATAATGACCTGCTGGCTTAGGCCTGCTCCCAGGTGGCAGAGGGCAGGCCCAATCCCTAGGTGCAGCCCCTGGTCGGGCACAGAGAAGGGCCGATGGGGGGTTGGGGCACCGCCCCCTGTCACACTCAAGTCAGGGTTGATGGGGAGGTTGCGGCGCCACCCCCTGTCACGCACAGAGCAGGGCCAATCCGGGGATTGGGGCGCTGCCCCCTGTCACGCAGAGAGTAGGGCGGATCAGGGGGTTGGGGTGCCACCACTCTCACACTCAGGGCAGGGCCGATGGGGAGGTTATGGCTCTACCCCATCACACACAGAGCAGGGCCTGTGAGAGGGGTGGGGGTTGTGGCGCCACCCTCTATCACCCACAAAGCAGGGCCAATCAGGGGGTTGGGGCGCCGCCACTCTCACACTCAGGGCAGGGCTGATGGGGAGGTTATGGCTCTACCCTGTCACACACAGAGCAGGGCCCGTGGGGGGGCGGGGGGGGAGGTTGGGGCGCCACACCCTGTCACACACACAGCAGGGCCGATCAGGGTGTTGGGGCGCCGTACCCTGTCACACACAGAGCCGCAGGGTGATCAGAGGTTGGGGAGCTCCCCCGTATCAGGCACAGAGCAGGGCTGATCAGGAGGTTGGGGTGCCTTCCCCTGTCACGAACAGAGCAGGGCGGATAGGGAGGTTGTGGCCCCACCCCCTGTCACACACAGAGCCGCAGGGCGATCAGGGGGTTTGGGCGCTGCCCCCTGTCATGCTGATCCCGGTGCTGGGAGGCGTATTACCCTTTTACTATATAGGATAGAGGCCTGGTGCATGGGTGGGGCTGGCTGGTTTGCCCTGAAGGGTGTCCTGGATCAGGGTGGGGGTCCCCACTGGGGTGCCTGGCCAGCCTGGGTGAGGGGATGATGGCTGTTTGCAGCTGGTCACACACCATTCAGGGTGGGGGTCCCCACTGGGGTGCTTGGCCAGCCTGGGTGAGGGGATGATGGCTGTTTGCAGCTGGTCACACACCCTTCAGGGTTGGGGTCCCCACTGGGGTGCCTGGCCAGCCTGGGTGAGGGGCTGAGGGCTGTTTGCAGCTGGTCACACACCCTTCAGGGTGGGGGTCCCCACTGGGGTGCCTGGCCAGTCTGGGTGAGGGGCTGAGGGCTGTTTTCAGGCTGGCAGGTGACGGAAGCTCCCAACTGCTCCTTTTTTTCTTTTTTTTTTTAAATAATTTTATTGATTTTTTACGGAGAGAAAGGGAGAGGGATAGAGAGTTAGAAACATTGATGAGAGAGAAACATCAATTTAGCTGCCTCAGGCACACCCCCTAATGGGGATGTGCCCGCAACCAAGGTATATGCGCCATTGACTGGAATTGAACCTGTGACCCTTCAGTTCGCAGGCTGACGTTCTATCCACTGAGCCAAACCAGTTGGTCTTTTTTTTTTTTTTTTTTTTAAATTCTGGGCCAGCTTTAGCTCTGAGGCTCCAGCTCTTAGGCCTCCGCTGCTGAAAGTAGGTAATCGAAACAATGTATAACTCCAGCTCTGACTCCAGCTCTGAGATCCCAGCTCGCTGAAAGCTGGTTTCTGGGTGTTTTTTTTAGCTTCTATATTTGTTAAAATGTTTCAAACTGCAGGCTCAGAGGCCTGCAAGGCAGGCGGGGAACGTTGGTTTCCTCCATCACTGAAGCAAGCAAGCCTCATGTTAGTTTCAAGCTGCCTGGCTGCCGGCCGCCATCTTGGCTGACAGTTAATTTGCATATCTCCCTGATTAGCCAATGGGAAGGGTAGCGGTCGTACGCCAATTACCATGTTTCTCTTTTATTAGATTAGATAGAGTTTATTTTATTCCAATTGTAAAAAGACATATAGTCTTACTATAGCAAAAATGTTCAACAGGAAAAATAATTGAAAGAATACTCATGATCCTATCTCACCAAATCCACCTTTTATTATATTTCGTTCTATTTCCTTTTTATGGTTTTTGTCCTGACCATTTAATATGTTTTCTTTTTCCATTCAAAAATGACACCAGCATTTTTTTTAAAAAAACACAGATATGGAAATGTAAAAGGCCATTCTTATTCCCAACCGTGAGGTGCCGGAAGCCAGTCCATCCTTGCTGCTTGACACAGTCGCTGCAGGGAAGAAACATCTGCACAGCATATGTTTCAAGGGACCTGGCGTATATAGCATACTGTTCTTAATATGTTTGCTCCCCCTTTTTTAGTGCTATGTATTATAACCAGAGCCACCTCCCTGAGAAAAGTTGTTTCCCCAGGTGTGAATGTTTCCCTGGAGTTAAGGATTAATGGGGCTAGGGAAGGGAATAAATCAGTAAAACCCTGTAACTAAGTGCCAGGCGGGTAGTTAATCACCTTAACTATGAACAATCACACTTAAGCTACATAATCCTTACTTAGGCCATAGAATAGGAAAATCTCCTTATAGCAATAGGATAATGACCTTGGAATAGAGACAACAAACTAGCCCTTATAATGGAACAGAGACTAACCTAGACAAGATTAAAATCAACAGAGCTAGATAGAGATAAGATTTTTATCAAAGGTCAGGTAAGAAACTATAAACATAAAACAAGGAACTGTAGAAGGTCAAAGGAGGATCCAAAACATATGATGATGTAACTATAGAGGCATGCTTATAGGATCAAATGGTATAAATACAGATGTAACAGGAGAATAAAGAGAGAACCCAACTATGCTGATGATCTGAACGCTGTCTCCATGACCTTCATTCTTCGCTGACTCCGTCCACACCTTTGGGAACCCCTGGACCGCTGGGGCTGGACCCCTGCAATTGGCACCCAATTC